TGTTTTAAGCAAAAAAACGTTGTCCGTACCTGCTCTAAAGTGGCACTGCTCTTCTTCTGCTTCTTGCTCTTTATATTCTTCTTCAATGAGATCACGCAGGATTCTACCGTATAGTCTGCTTAGTGTGCTTTTGAATGATGTGCCCCGATAGCTATTGCAATCCAGCTTATTTCCTTTTTTTGTGAATGGATGATATAAAAGCCGTTTCCACTTGTGGAACAGTATGTCCATTTAGGCATTTATTGATAATACATGTGAGACCTTTAAAGAGCTTCTCAGTTCCCCATTTCAGCATTTCTGAGTATATCCCTTCTGGGCCGCTAGCTTTACCTGACTTAAGATTCTTAACAGTCTTTTTAACTGTTTCTTCAGATATCTCTCCATGTACTTCAATATGTCTTGGAGTATCTGATATATATTCCGGTCTACTTTCTTGTAATAGACCCTTGTAGTTAGTGTTCTATCCATTGCTCTGGTTTAATAATCTGGATATTAGCTCTGTCCTTTCCTGGGTTTTTGACATTTGATATAAATCTCCATACCTCTGAGCATTTCCTTCCTCCTATGTAGGTGTTAATTTCTTATCCCATATGACTCATTCTTAGCTATAGTGATGCACGTTCTTAGTTGTCTTTTTGTGTCTTTATAAACTTCAAGATCTTGTTAATTTTTTGTTGTTAGCCATTTCAGATATTTTTGCTTCTTCTCTTGGACTAATAGCTCTATCTCCTCATTCCGCCACTATTTCTTGTTGGTATTTTTTTCCTTCGTTCCTATTGCTTCTTGGGTGGCTTCTATTAGACTCCTCTCATAGAGTTTATTGAAAGTACATTCTTCAGGGTTCAATAGTTTGCTGTCGAGTCGCTTCTGATACAGAAATACAGTGCTGTCATCTCTAAAACTGTCAAAATTGTACTTTGTTGTATCCACTATATCCGTTAGTATGGCATTGGTGTTTTGTTCCTCTGGGTTTTTGTTCATTTTCCTAGATTGCAACTTTATTTTAGCTCTTACTAAAAAATGATCTGACCCGCAAGTTATTCCTCTTATGGCCATTTGCACAGCTATCACTTAAGGGGTATATAATTTAAGTGGAGCTTTGAATGTGATTTTTGTTCCTACAAGAGTCACATTCAAAGCTCCACTTGGATTAAATATCCCTTAAGCTATAACGGTGCAAATGGCCGTTAGTCGTTTATCTGCATGTTTGTTTCTTGTTTGCTCATCACATAGTCAATAATAGTTTTCAGGTTACAGGCATTCTGTATCCATGTGTAGCGGTGAATATCTTTGTATTTGAAAAATCCATTGTTTATTCTAAGATTGTGGGTCTCACAGAGATATATGAACCTTTGGCCATAATCATTGATTATTTCTTCTCCAAATGGTCCTACAACTGGGCTATTGTTCGTCCTTCCCGTTTCATTAAAATCCCCTATCATTATGATTTCTCTATTTCTTCCAATATCTACTAGGATTCCATCCAATTTGTCAAAGAACTCCTGCTTAATGCCGACTCTTTCTAATGGTGATGCTATAGCCCATGTAGTTTCAAGTTGACCGTTAGAATATTTTCTTCTACAGCTTCCCAGTTGTTAATTTTCCATTTTTTCTTTATCAGTACATATGCCCCTCTAGCTGCTATCATTTCCTTTGACACTCCAGTAAAAAGATGAATATATTCCAACATTTCCGGTGCCACTTCCTTTTTTCTTGGTTTCGGTTAGTGCTACTAAATCAATGTTCAATTTCTGAATTTCTGATGTAATAATATCCGTTTTCAGTCTAATACCTTGCACATTTCACGTAGCCAGATTCATAGTCCATTGTCTTTACTGTCTTCGTTGTCTTGGTGATCCGTCCAATGTTCCGAGGCCTCGCTTAGGTCTTTTGATAGTTTTGTATTTTTCTGAGTATTAAAGAACCAGTCTAATGCCTCGACCCCCATCCTGGAGGACAGGGTCAGTTTCTGTTTCACGGTGGGTATTTTATTTTCCCATTATCCTCTGAATCTGTTGGATTACAGACCCAGCGAGCTTCCCCTAATTCCCAAAGGGACGCACCCGATGGAGGTAACCGACAAATCCCCACACGGGGTTTTTGGAAATTTATTAACTCAAAAAGAGATGGCTTAAATTTACCAAATGCTACGCACTTGAATGACTCAACCAGTAACTCCATGGAATCTACTATTCATCTATTTATGAGAGTGATACAAAAATGGCTGTGAAGACGAAGACAACTGTTTGAATTCTTTTTAAGATTTTGAATACTGTAATATTACCAGTTTGGATGTTCTTAATTCCATAAGGGAGGTAGGCAATAACTTAGGTTGTGGACCTGATGGCATAGCAGTTGAATTTTTAAAGAGCACAAAATTTGTATTATCTATTTAATATATTGCCCATGTTGATCAATCTTTCTCCGTTTAGTGGAAATTTCTCAGAGAGGATGGAAACGAAGTTATGTAACACCCATCTGCAAAAGTGGTGATAGATCTACAGAGCAATCTCTAAAAACTCAATTCTATCTACAATATTGCAATCTTTTGTAAATAAATGCCTATATCCACTATTTTCATCTCAGATAATCCCAGAACAGCATGGATTTTTAAGAGGAAAAACTGCTATAAGTAACTTGCTAGAATATGAGCAATTTGTAGTTGAAGCTATGGATGAACGTTTCCAAGTGGATCTGTGTACACTGACTTCACAAAAGCTTTTGATAAAATAAATCATTCAGTTTCAATTGAAAAAATTGAAGCAATGGGTGTTCGCAGAGCTCTGCTGACTTGAGGTTGAGCAGTTATTTATCTGGTCGAACACAATGGACACAGGTTGTGAAAGTAGAAAAATTTATGTTGTCAATAATCAATGTATCATCGGGTGTGCCGGTGTGCCGCAGGAAAGCCATCTATCCCCTATGTTATTCAAGTGCTTTACTGCTTTATAAATGATCTGCAGGACTCTACTCGTTTCAGCAAAATTTTATTGTATGCAGACGACTTGAAGATTTTTAAGGCTATTCGTTGTGGAAGTGATTGTATAAAACGACATATTTCATTTATTTGAGAGAGCTCTTTCCGCATCTGTGCTATCCGCTGTTCTATCCTGATTTTCCATCTTGGTTTCCTAAATTTTGCGCCCAGCAGCATAAAAAAGTTTATTTATCTCTGTTATATTGTGCTGGTTTTCTGCCCAACCGTTTATTATTTGTTGAATTGCCTCGTAAGCTTGAGCCATGAGGTGAGGTGTGTTGCTTTTTGTGATTCATCAATTTTTGGTAGTTTATCTCTTGTTATAGAATTGGTATCGGTATCATTGATCTTGTTCTCAATTTCGCTGATTATATTTTCTAAGCTATTCTCACTTTCGCTTTGTGCTGGTTGATTAGTTTGCTTCTCTACAATATCTACTTCGTTTTGTGTGTCATGTATTCTCTGGTTCTGGGCGTTTTCTCGCGGGTTTTGAGCCTCTGCATGTCCTGTTTCGTTTTCTTCAGATTTCTGCGCATTATCTTTTATGTGTCTTTGTACTAGCGCCTTGACTTGGTCTATCTCAGTTTCAGTAAGTTTTTTGTGACTCACGATGTATCGCCTTTGGGTTGCCAATGTGTTTGCGGAGATGTTGGGATGGCTATTTGGGTTTCGGCTCCTCCACAAGTCATAATTATCTTTAAGGCCTTTTGTTCTTGTCGTCTCCTGTAGGTAGTAGTAGCACCACAATATTTCTTTGTATTCATTTTTGCTCCATTTTTGTCGTTTATTTTCTTCTATTTCTCTTTGTAAATCTTGATTCTGTATCTCTGAAAGGCCTGGTTGAGTATCCTCTGTTAGGTTCTCTTCAGGGTAATTTGTCGGAGCATGATGTTCCTGTCCATTTTCTCGTGTACCATTGCCGTTGCCAGGGGTCATTGCAGGTAATTCTTCCTGACGGTTCCGATCCAAGTCCTGCTGCCTTGGTCCGCCCGAGTATATTTTTCTTCGCGTGTTGAAAGCTTACTATTCACGCTAAGAAGGTAGCTGGCCTTCCTAACGGTTCTGGTTTTAGTCCACCCCGGGTATCTTATTTCCCTAGTATCCTTCAGCACTAAGGCTAGCGGACGTACCCCAGCGCACAGGGGCGGCTCCCGATAGCTGACCAGAAACAGCCACGGGTTATTATTATTATTATTATTTAATGAAGGAGAACAAAAAGTCAAATCTCACAATTCCAAAAAGAGAAATTTATTTTTCAAAAATCTCTCAATTAGACTACCATGGTTTTTATTATTATTATTATTATTTTTTTTTTGGGTTGGTCTTACCTACGGTCCCGCGGCTCCGACACTTATACGGGTGCAAGTAGGCCTGGTGTTCCATCCACCGTTCTACTCCCCATCAACCGCACGGTTAGTAGAAACGGTGTTCCGCATCGTGTGCTCTGAGTAGACGCAATGATCCCAGGATTACCGCTTTCTGCATCGTGCCAGCAAGGTGTTCCGCTTTATCACGACACACTAGCAAGATCTTGAGAGCCGAGAGCAGTGTTTGTCGTGCACCTCCGAGAGCCCCAATCATCAAAACCACTAGCTGACGGTATAGCCCCGGTACATTCGGCGAAGGTCAAAGAGAAGATCCTGATATTTCGTCCGTTTATCTTCCTCCTTGGCAATAATGTTCGTCTATTATTATTATTATTATCATTATTATCATTATTATTATTTATCTTCAAATGGAATAGAATATTGTGTCATGAAATCGATTCCTACTTTTGGACAGCTTTCGGTAGATAACAATGACGTAGATACATTCGATTTATATCAGGTTTTCTCAATTCCCTGTTTTTTTTTTTTCAATTAAAATGCTCAAACACTTTAATACTTGCTTGCCCCTGCTATGCCCTGAAATAATTCAAATTACCAACTATTACTAGAATGATTATTTGAATGGACATTTTTTGTTCAAAATAATCCACATTATCGGGTGTTGTATTTTTAGTAACTAATATTGAAAATTCTAGCTTCATTGTTGTGGCAATCATAAAGCACGCGACTGGTTAGATCTTCCTCATGCCTTACCAATACCGCAATCATGTTGCATTAAAGACGGTTGTAATACTGAATTGGAACGAGATGAAATTTATACTCAGGTAAGAAGCAATTTAGGCTAAACCAAATTATTTGAAATATGATATTTTTTAGGGTTGTTGTGATAAAGTCATCGAATTTCTGGATGCCAATATAGGAATAGTCGCAGGAGCAGCTGTTGGAATTGCTTTCTTCCCACTGGTCGGCGTGGTGCTTTCTTGTTGCTTAGCTAGTGTTATAAACAAAACCAAATATGAACCAATGGCCTAATTATTTTGACTGTTTAGAAGCGCATACAACAGATGTGATTTTTTTATCAAAGAAAATTCTGGAAGTTGAATGATTTTGAATATCTTTAAAATTATCTTAACCTTGTAATCTTTATAGTCACTTATGCTCATTTATAAAACATATACAATTATAAGGTATTTTATTATTGAGTGAGTATTTTTGTCCTATTATTAAAAAATGTATTTTTGAATATATAAAAAAAAATGTAAATATGACATAATTATTTAAGATATATCGTTTTAAGAGAGTAAAGTGGAATTATCAAAAGGAGAGATTCGAATTTTTTTGGAACTGACGAACTGATTAAATATGGAAATTACGTTAGATAATGACTATGTATTCAAATTATAGCACCAATATTATAAAACGCACTTTTATCCAATGTTATATTCGTAAAAGCTTAAACAAATAAATGAAGAAAATTATGTGATTGTGAGTTATAAATCATTTTATCTACTCTGAAAAATAATTTGTCGAAAAATATGTCTGGGTAGTCTAAATAAAGGTCAAGTATTTTAAGTTTGGGTCACCTATTAAAAGTTTTCGATTATCAGGCACGAGGCTCTCGAATTACCAACCGGACATTGTTTCCATTATTTCGTTAAATTCACGACGCGAACACATTTGTTCTTTGATTGTGAAACAATGAGATTTGAATTTCTGTTACGTAATAGTTATTTACATTACAAGTGCGTTTATGAGCATGATTACAATAACGAGTGTGAAGGATTAGAACGACGAGGTCGTAGACCGAGTTGTTCTAATCAAGCCCGGGACACATCTATCATGCATCCTTCCGATCCGACTCCGATCATACAATGAGGCTCCTTATTCTTGGACAACAGGAAGCAGCGTTCCCAGGAGAATGAGTGTTCCGCTGCTCCCCTGTTCCAAGAAGAAGGACCTTGATTGTATGATCGGAGTCGGATCGGAAGAATGCATGATAGATGTGTCCCGGGCTTCACACGAGTCTTGTAGTCATGTTTAAACGCACGTGTGATGAACAACGTTTTATCTACAAAGCGAAAAATAAGAATATTTTTCCAATTATTTTCGTTCATTAATGGTTGTCTACCTTCATTTTACCTTTACAGGTTTACCTTTGACATTTGTCAAATTACCAAAAATAGTTGTGTTATAGACTCCTAACCTCGCCTATAACACCACTAGTTGTGTTATGAATTCATAACCTAGTCTATAACACCACTAGTTGTGTTATGAGTCTCATGACGTTACTCAAATACCAGAAAAATGGGTATGTAAAAACGTCATAACCAAACGCTTGTAGATAAAGTCAATTTACTTTTTGCCTAAAATGCTGCACTATTCTGACTAATAATGACAGATCGAATCTTTTTTTATCCTATCAAGGGGCCCAACACGTATAAAGTCATGTGTATTTGAATTTTTAGAAAAAATATCGTACTATAAGATCAAATCGGTCTAATTAAATACTTTTCAGAATACATATAATAAATTATGTCTGTTCGGGTGAACATTGTAACCCGCTTGGGCTTACTTACGCAGTCCCCTGATTAATTGCACATGTAATCTTGATTTGCATGTCTCTTAACTATTTCTAACTCATAAACTTGCGTCTTCAACTGATGCTTTGTTTTTGCAGGAGTAGGAGCACAACGTTATTTCTTCAGGCAGTGAAAGCGACAGATAAATCCTAGCAAACTTTAGCTCCATTCGCTTCGATGTATCCAAAAACGGAAAGCATCGAACCAGGGTCCAGGACCTGCAAGTTGGTCAGCGACCCAGAATAATAGTGTGAGAATCCCTAGTGGTCTAATAGTCGAATCAAATGGTAATTTTTTGGTAACATGAATGCTGTAGAAGGTTTTTCAACGGAATTGTATGTTTTTTGGGATGTTGAATACAAATCTGAAGTTTGCTGCCTCGTAGCAGAACCGGCTCAAGCCGAAAATCGCGAAAAATCTCGAAATTTTCGGACTTTTTCCGGTTTTCTGATCATATCTTGCAAACGACGCATCGTGCGGAAAATGTCACGGTATTCAAAGTTGAAGAGCATAAAATTTTGCGTCGAATGACCTACCTAACCTTGTTACTGTTGAATTTATAAGCTCGCCATTGTCAGTCGAAAAAAGCCAAGTTTAATGAACTTTTGTGAATACTGCAGTAAACTTACTTTTAGATGAAAGTGATTCCAAAACAACCACTCTAAGCAAAAAAAATCTTTGAAGATGTACTTAACCAAATATTGAGTTCATTGAGCACCAAAATTTTAAATATGGATCAATATATACGCATACATTACTGATCATTTCTTCATTTTCCCTTCAAACGCTTATTTGACAAAATGAAGGGTCCAAAAATGAAAAGCCTGTCCCTGTCAATATAAATCCCCTCACTTCTCAAACCCCACTTGTGAACCCTAAATTACTTCTTTCTCAATTTTTTGTAATAAGGATTTATAAGCTTTATGTAAATATGTAGATTTGATTAGACTATGAAGGCTGCTTCAACAAGTATTGCTGATTTAGCCAGATGTTTTAATCTTTTTGTATTAAATAGAACAGTTGATTTATTAACCAAATAACCGTAAGTAATCGGGAAAAAATTGAAGGAAAAAAGTCGTTACAAGTAACAGAACCGACGAACCGAGTTGTATATGTATGCTGTTATGAGATCCAATAACTACCTACTGGTGCCCCAAAAACTAATAGGAAACCAACTAAATTTCTATGGTCTAAATACTCTTTATGTTGTAGTCCAAACATTTACCGCTAAAATGTCACGCTAATGAGTTCTTATACACACGAGGTTTGACGGTTTTAGCACAAGAGCCGAACCTCGGTTAAATGAGAAATTGGCTGGCATCATTTTTAAAATGGTTGAAAAGAACACCTATAGCTTCCATATATTATAAGTAACTGGCGGCTTTCTCAATAAAATGTTCTTCTTAAAGTATAAGGTACCTGACCCAAATAAAGCCATGTACCTAATAAGGCCAGTGCCCCTTATTGCTTAATATTGAATCCCATCTTCAAAAATTACAATATTATTAAAAAAGATATCTATAATGCAAATCAATAATTATTTCGAGGATTCGTAGTTACTCGTTATATGTCGAAAAATGGCTAACCACAGATTTCATTTGTCAGTTATGTCACGTTATAACTTTGAGGCTGGAACTCAATTAGTTTATACACATGTTCATAAAGCGAATGGAGCGAATTTAATTTTTACACGGACATTTATGTATTGAGAAAGCTACAGAGTAAGTACAGAATAATATCTTTTCTAGATTTCTAGTTACAGAGTTTTTTTCATCAAGGTAACATGTTCCTAATAAGGCCACATGAAAAATTTTCAATTGGCCTCACATCACAGTGTTTTTTTAAAAGAATGTGTCATGTTATAACTTAAGTGATGTGTTTTAGAGCGCCTGGAGTCTAACCAAGCAAGAAAAGCTGCGGTTCAGTTGTCCTGGTTGAATGTAGACCTATTTGGATCACCATCCCAGGACTTGAAATTATTGTTTTTTTAGAATGCAGCAAACGTTAAAGTTCTATTTTGAGAACTCTTTGTCAAAAAATAATATTTCCATGAATGATTCTATTTATTTTAAACATTTTTTAATGGTGGCCTTATTAGGAGCATAGTGGTACAAATAAGGCCAATGGTAAGGGTCTTTGTTTTACGCAAAAAATACCACTTATATGTAAAAATAAATAAATTGGGGTTAATATTCAAATAATAGAAGCGAAACACTTCACAGATTAGCTCGTGATTTTTGTCGGGTTTGGTGGATAGTGTTCAGAAAAAATAAAACTTCTTAACATGGCCTTATTTGGGACAGGTACCCTACATGAAATGAAATCAAAAACCAGCCAAATATGTCATAAAAAAATAAGGACAATGGTTGAATGTTGACTTCAGAAGAACGTAAAATACCTCGTGTTATCCCTGTAAAATTCAAACTTATGTTGTCAAAGAGAGTAATATTCCAGAAAAAAAAGGTATAAGAAGTTGTTCTGCACTTGGTATTGTGAAAGTGTCACAGATAGTTCTTTCACATGGGCCGCTTGCTAAATTACATCATGTAACTTTATTCAATGTTTAGACCTACACAAGAGTCGCGGAAGATATTTAACGTGTCGCATTGGTAATACTAAATTAGCCGTATTCTACGTCAAGCCATTTTTACAGGGGTCCCAGCCATGAAACAAGAAGCTAGAAGAACCGGAAGTGGATGCATCTGGATGATGAGCATGGCCCAACGAGAACGAATTCTCTCGCGGAGGTCTCGAAACTCAATGCCACGCTTGGATACTAGAAACCATGCAGCAACATTGTCAGCAAAATAGCAGAAAATAAATAATCCTTAACGTGTACTATCCCATACAGCGTTCAACATCTATACCCACGACATCCCACTCTCAGTTTGACCCAACGCCCAACTCGAGGCCCAACTTTATTGATGATTAATTCAGAGATGCGATAAAGAAAATCCTATTTTTGCACAAGATGCACAACATGCCAAACAATACATTTAACCTGATAGGACACTTTTTCAACCCGATAAGGTTTTAACCGATTAGCTTTGACTAAAAGTCAACATTCAAAATTTCTCTGATATTTAAAGGATTACCTACCTAATACTTATAGTCCTTGGACCATTTAAATCTATTTTTTTTTTTTTTTTTATTTTTTATTTTTTTTTTTTTTTTATTTTTTTTTTTTCTGCTTTCTTGTCAGAAACCACCACTGTGGTTTGTCGACAAAGCCTCGAACATCACACACAAACCAAATCAAACAAACAACTCAAAACTCAAAATCTTTATTTAAATAATTACTTATGTGTGTACAATTCAGGTAGGGAGGTTAAGCCCCCCTCAAACTTAAATATATACAACAATAACTTATTCTAGGACATACAACTTAAAACTAAAAACTCCAGTGCGGCGCAGCGCACTGTGCCCCAGACACGCCTGGCGTGCTGTGTGGGCGTGTTTTAGCACGGTCCGATGTTTTGACCTAAAAGCCTCTGTCCTATCCTTGATTAACTCTTTTCGCAGCGTTACCTGGTCTCCCTCAAACAAACAAACATCCATGCACCTAGCCGGGATTCGAACCCGAGACCCACTGCATGCAAAGCGAAGACACAACCGCTGAGCTGTCTTGAGTCTGCTATTATTTATGACCACACCGTCGAAACTTTTTGGATTTGTTATTTGGGTGGGGACAAATTTGGAGCTTAGCGCATTATGGTAGTGGGGCGTTTGTCTGTTAAGCTGTCACGAAGTTGTCGATTTTATGCAAGAAAAAAATTTATGACCACATTGATGATTTTATTTTAATCAATAGTTTTTATCACATAAATAACGAAAAAAAATTTGTCGGACAAAAATATTGGGGCATTCGTCGCGTCGGACAAGCTAAATATGTCAAATTTATGGGAAAAAAAAATTATTACCACACGGCTGATTTGAAC